GCACTGTGACAGGATACCAAGGAATACAGCCAAGAGGAGAAACGCTTACTGGGGTCGTGGTTTCCGTCCTGGCCACTTGACCGTTTGGGATCTGTGGTGAGACAGAGCATCACGGTGGGGAGTGCTGCCGGAGCTACGCTGCCCACTCAGGACAGCCAGGAAGGGAGAAGATGAGATAAGAGTGGGGGGGGGACAGGGATAAGATCTACCCCCTGAGCTAAGGACCTGGAGCAGAGTCGGACACTTGCATCAGGGAAGCCTTTCCTGGAGCAAGGACGCTTTGCTGGGGAAACCGGCTCCCACTGGAACAGAGCTGTAACACTCCTGTGGGATACCTTTCCTTTCGGAGCTGTAGGCAATCCTTGGTTCCACACTCCCTTGAACTAGGCTCCAACACTGGTATCCACCACCTCCCAATAGCCCATCAAGCTCCGAATCCGGAGGCTGGAGAGCTAGCTCAGCAGTTAGGCGCATAGAGGGTTGAAGTTCAGGTTCCAGACTCACTACAGCCTGAAGCTCCAGATCTGGGGAACATGGTGCCCTCTTCTGGCCTCCATGGGTACTGCGCTCATAAGTGCAAAACTCACACACATACACAAAATTAAACAACAGCAACAATACATCTTTAGCTGTGAATCTATCAGTAGGTTAATCCTTTGGAGTGGTCTCATGATCCAGTCACTTCCCCCAAAGTCCCATCTCTGAACATTGCTGCCTGGGAAACAGATGTTCAACACAGGAACCTCTGGGAACATTGAAAACCCTAATAATAAGCCAGGTGGCGGCGCACGCCTTTAATCCCAGCACTTGGGAGGCAGAGGCAGGCAGATCTCTGTGAATTCGAGGCCAGCCTGGGCTACAGAGCAAGTTCCAGGACAGGATCCACAGAGAAACCCTGTCTCAAAAACAAACAAACAAACAAACCAAAAGAAGAAAACCCTAACAGTAACAGTCATTGACAAGTGTGTGGCTGGGAAGGATGCTCATGCCTCCGAGTATCACCTCAATTGCTTATTCATTAACAGAGGGAAGGAGGGCTGCAGGGAGACTCAGCAGTTGAGGGCACTGGCTGCTCTTGTGGGGAACGCAGCTTTGGTTCCCTGCCCCTACATGGTAGCTCACAACCAATTGTGACTCCAGCTCCAGGGAGATCTAGTGCCTCCTTCTTATCTCTGAAGTACATCAGGCAGGCATGTGGTACATGTACATACATGCAGGCAAAATATTCATACACATAAACAAATTAATCTAAGAAAAAAGAGGAAAAGGGGTCTTCTCCACGGAGAGGAAAGTTCCAACTGTACTATGACTGAGAGTTCCAGCTATACTGCCAGGAAGGGAGCAGCTGATGCTGAGGGTCTGTCTCCCAACAAAGGGCCCACTTCCTGTAAGTACTGAAGGGCCTGGAAGGTGCCAAAGATGTTGGACTTAATTTAGTCATGGGGTTAGTGGAAAAATTCAAATTGAGGGGCATTCTATAGAACAGCATGCTCGGATTCTAAAAATGTCAGCCTCAAGAATGTCCAAGATTGGGCTGGAGGGATGGCTCAGAGGTTAAGAGCACTGGCTGTTCTTCTAGAGGTCCTGAATTCAATTCCCAGCAACACATGGTGGCTCACAACCATCGGTAATGAGATCTGGTGCCCTCTTTTTCTGGTGTGCAAGCAGAACACTGTATACATAATAAATAAATCTTTAAAAAAAAGAATTTTCAAGATAAAAAAAGAAAAGAAAAGAAAAGTCAGGCAGTGGTGGTGCACACCTTTAGTCCAGCACTCGGGAGGCAGAGGCAGGCAGATCTCAGTGAGTTTGAGGCCAGCCTGGGCTACAGAGCAAGTTCCAGGGCAGCCAGGACTGTTACACAGAGAAAACCCTGTCTCAAAAAACAAAACAAAACAAACAAAAAAATGTCCAAGATAGGAGGCTGGGTGTGATGGTGCACACCTTTAATCCCAGCATTCAAGAGGCAAAGGCAGGAGGATCTCTGTGAGTTTGAGGCCAGCCTGATCTACATAGTGAGTTCCACGACAGCCAGGAATACATAGAGTAACCCTGTCTACAAACAAACAAACAAACAAACAAACAAACAAACAAACAAACAAACAAACAAACACAAATCTCCAAGACAAGACTGGAGCGATGACTCAGTGGTTAAGAGTGCACACTGCTCTTCCAGAGGACCTGGGTTCAGTTCTCACATCCAACTTCTTGTAACTCCAGATCCAGGGAGTCTAGCGCCCTCTTCTGGCTCATGTGGCATTGCACTAATGAGCATGCCCCCTCCCCCCTCCCCACCCCCACCTCCCACCCTCTCCACCCTGCCTCCATTGAAAATAGATATTAAAAACGAAGGGTGCTATGTAGAGGCTTACCACACTATTATTTCAATACTTCTGAAGGTTAAAAATAATCCAAATTACTGGAGTGAGCATGGAACTCTATAGGCTACACAGAAAATGAGAACTCTGTGCCTTCCGTGAGGTCAACACCCGTGATGGGGTGGGATTTGGCAGTGAGGTAGCTGCTTGAAGACCACCTATACTGCTGTAAGTAACCCTTCGCTGTGCTGTATAAGAAGCCCAATGAACCCACTGGTTTCAACAAAAATAAATGAATAAATAAGTAGATAGATAAAAACATTTTAAATGAAAAGTTGAAAGGAACAATCTGGCTAGTTCCCTGTTACTGTATTTATCTAAATATGTTAGGCAAGTCTTAACAAAATAATGGATTTGTTTTTAATAATGAATTATTAAATGAATGTGAAATCATTGTAACATGACTTGCTTTTCTTCAATTAACAGCTAATTGACTTTCATGCATATTTAACTCTTGAGTAAAAATATACTCACATGGCTAAAAATGAAAAGGTTACAAAAAACTTCCCTGAGGCTGGAGAGATGGTTCAGCAGTTAAGAGTGCACATTGCAGAGGACCCAAGTCCACTTCCCCAAATTAACACCTGTGAGGCTAGGGCTGGGCGATGCAGCGCCCTCTGCTGACTGCCCCAGGCACCGGCAGACACAGGGTACAGCTACATGCATATGAAATGCTCATACACATACAATTAAACAAATAAAGCTACAAATAATTTTTAAGGGGCTGGAGAGATGGCTCAGTGGTTAAGAGCACTGGCTGCTCTTCCAGAGGACCCAGTTCAATTCCCAGCACTCACATGGCAGGCAGCTCACAACCATCTGTAACTCCATTTCTGGGGGATCCAACATCCTCTTTTGGCCTCCATGGACAACATGTGGTGCATAGACACACATGAGGCCAAGACACCTATACACACAGAAAAATTTAAAGCCAAAAACAAGAAAAAAGTGAAAGAAGAGGGCTGCTGTTACAGTTCAGTGCTTGTTGACTGGTTGCCCAGCAGCCCAGCGTAAGCCCCAGGTTTGGTCCCCAGTACTTCACACACATGCACAGAGCCCCCTGCCTGGAGAGAAGCGATTGGTGAACTGAGGGGTCTGCCCTCCGTAGGAAGCAGGTGCCCACATATTTGTCTTGATAGAACACTCAAATGAAGAAACTGAGCCTAATGTCACTTGCTTCAGAACTTCATAAGATTTTAATGTCTAAGAATCCAAATTAGCACGTCTCTGTCCAAGGGGTATGAAAAACTAATCTGAGTATAATGATGTGATAATGCCTTAGCAGGAGCAGGGACCCACACCACTGCCGGCGCTGTGAGTTATAGCGGGGCCATTAACAGACTCCATCAGCCGGGGCCTGATTCCGAAGGCTTAACAAGAACAGTTCCCAGGATGACCCTCGGTGCCGAGAAGGATCAGCCGTGGCTGGAGGTTGATGTCCTCACAGTGGGGCCGGCAGAGCAACCTGCTCGGAGTCCCGAGTGAAATCCACGTTTAACGTTCAGATTCCAGAGTTCTCAAAAGGGAGCTGCGGTGAGTGACAAGGACTTGGGAGGCGAGGAGGCTGGGAGCCGTGATTAATGCCACCTCCCCTCTCCGCATGCCCGACTTCCTGAGCGAGCTGACCCATGTGTCTGTTGGAAGTCAAAAGGGTGGGCTGCTTCAAACAGGGCATCAATACACTTCAGGATAATTAAGTGCCTAATTGAGTGTCTCAATTCAGCTGAAGCAATTTATGTGGCATCCTGTCATGTCTGCAGTGCCAATTCCACTCATGTCTAAGATGACATATTTTCTCTTGTGCGTCTGTGTGAGGTATGTGTGGTTTGTGTGGTGTGTGTTTGTGATGTGCATCTGTTGTTTGTAGGGTATGTGTGTATGGTGTGTGTGTGTCTGTCTGTCTGTCTGTGTGGTGTGTTTGTATTTGTTGTGCGTGTTCTGTGTGTGGTGTACAGTGTGTTTGTGTGTGGTATGTAGTGTGCAGTATGTATGTGATGTGTGTTCATGTGTGCTTGCACACCCATGCATGAGCATATGGAGAACAGAGGAGGATGTCATTGCTGCCCTCCAGCTCTCCCCCTTATTCCCTTGAGGCACGGTTTCCTCTCCAACATGAAGTCTGCCATTTCAGCTAGGCTCCTCAGAATCTCCCTGTCTCCACCCTGCAACACTGAGGTTACAGTATGCACAGCATGCCTCTTCTCTGTCTGTCTCTGTCTCTGTCTCTCTCTGTCTCTCTCTGTCTCTCTCTCTCTCTCTCTCGTGTGTGTGTGTGTGTGTGTGTGTGTGTGTGTGTGTGTGTGTGTGTGTGTGTTTTACGTGGGTGCTGGAGATTTGAACTCAGGACCTCATGTCTGTGCACACTAGGCAAGCCCTCTATAATTAAGCTGCATCTTTAGTCTGGTCCCATTTTCATAAGGCCCAAAGCCCAACCCCGGAGGTCCTGTGATCATGCTGTAGTCTTCTGAAGGTTCCCTGCTTATTCATGCCATCACTTTGGGGGTCTAGCATGTCAACGCAGGGCACAGACATTAGACCATAGCAAAAGAAAAAAAAAAGTATTGATATATTTTCAGTGTGGCTTTTATCAATAGATTTTTCCCTTATCTCTGGGGGGGCAGTTACTACTTTTTTTTGGGTGTCATTGCTTTGACTCCTGCATACTCAGTTAAACACTTATGAAGTACTTACTAGATACGCTGATCCATTGTCGTTCTGGATCCTAGGTGTTAGTCTACACCATCTGATCTGGCTTTGTTCTTCTAAGTGGAGTCTCGGCTTGTCACCTCACACGATCATGGGGTGCCAGTATGGGATGGGTGGGACTTGGCTCTGTGCAGAAATCCTGAGAGCTTTGGGGAGCATGGTGCATGTTGCTGGCTTCTCTCTGTCTCACTCAACGGAAGAGCTGGAGTCTCCCAGCAGGGCCCGCGCTGCTGTCTTCTGGTTGAGAAATCTATTTTCGAATGTCTTAGAAGGAATGGGATGGCCAAATAAGAGCTTTAAGACACATCAACATGGACCTAATTTATACAGTAAGATGCATCCTTTGCTGTGGCATATGCAACTTAGAGGAGGGGTGACATACCTGAGCTCACGGTTTCCAAGGTTTCAGTTCATGGTTGACTGGCTGCATGGCTCTGGGCCTGACATAAGATGGAGACATGCTGTGGAATATTAGTTTAAGGTGTGTTACATTCGTTTATGCTGTGGAGTATTTTTTAATGATGCATTCTTTCATGTTGCATTTGTTTAACTCTGTGAAGCTGTGTTACTGTGCCTGTCTAAAACACCTGATGGTCTAATAAAGAGTTGAACAGCCAATAGCGAGGCAGGAGAAAGGATAGGCGGAGCTGGCAGGCAGAGAGAATGAGTAGGAGAAGAAATCTAGGCTTGGAGCTGGGCGATGGTGGCACACACCTTTAATCTCAGCACTCGGGAGGCAGAGCCAGGTGGATCTCTGTGAGTCTGAGGCCAGCCTGGTCTACAGAGCAAGAGTCCAGGACAGTTACAAAACTACATAGAGAAATCCTGTCTCGAAAAACCAAAAAAAAGAAAAAAAAGAAAGAAAGAAAGAAAGAAAAAGAAAAAAAAAGAAATCTAGGCTTGGAAGAAGGAAAGGGGGAGGAGCAAGAAAAGGAGAAAGAAAGGAAGAAGCCAGCCAGCCAGCCACACAGTAAGAAGGAAAGAAAGAATATAGAATAATAACAGGTAAAAGCACAGAGGCAAAACGTAAAGAGAAACGGGATAATTTAAGTTAGAAAAGCTGGCTAGTGACAAGCCAAGCTAAGGCCAGGCATTCATAAGTAGGAATAAGTCCTCATGTATTTATTTGGGAGCTGGGTGGCGGGCCCCCAAAGAGTAAAAAACAAAACAAAACCAACTACAGAGACAGGAGTGTGTGGCACAGGAGGAGGCTGGTCATCTATCAGCAGCTGGGAAGTAGAGGGCCAGAGGGGCCAGAGCCAAGGAATACCTTCAAAGACACACTCATCCTTCGACCAGGGAAGCCTTCAAAGGCACACCACATCCTCCAACCCGGGAAGCTCCGCCTCCCAGTTTCTGGCAGTCCCCAGCATCACATTTTACATATTTACTCTGTGTCTGTGTGCACACATGCACATAGAGAGCCCAGAAGTCAACTTGCAGATGTCTGTTGCCTCCTTCCACCATGTGGGTCCTGGGGGCCAAACTGAAGTTATCAGGCTTGGTCACAAGTGCCTTTACCCATGGAGACATCTAGCTGGCCCAGCCAGTGGTCCTTTCAATGACAAATTTACTAATGAGTTGGCACACTGATGAAGTCAGAGTCCTTGTGATCCAATAGTTGTCCTAAAGTCCCACAAGTGAACATTGCTGTAGCAGAGGCCAAGCCTTCAGCACAAAAGCCCTTTTGGGGAACACATCCCATCCAAGCCAGCATTCCTATCCTGAGTCTAGCTTTAATGTAGGAATTCCAGTGTGTGCACATGTTGAGAAGACAGTGTGACAAACCCCAGATTAATTAAAAACCTAAATAAAAGTTTGTGTTATTTCCACATGCATATGTAATGCACTTGGATTATACCCATCCCCTCATTACAGCCTTTTGTCTCCCCTCCTGGATCCCAGCAGTCCCCTTTACCTCCACATCCTGCCCCCCATCCTGATCCCACGGTGGGGGGAATTGTGCATACTTGTCTTTTGCAGTCTGGCTGCTTTCACTTAACACAGTTTCCCGTTCCACACACTTTCCTGCCATGATGTGACTTTCTTCTTCTGTGTGGCAGGAGAGTCCTTTGTGGGTATGCACCACATTTGCTGTACCTGTCAGTCCATCTGCCGATGGGCAGCTGGGCGGGTTGTGTAGCTTGGCTACTGTGGGAAAGCCTCAGGCACCTCAAGGGGGCAGATACCCCTACAGCAAGGTGACATTGATTCTTTTGGGTACCAGGTGGTGGGTGGCTTTGAAACATTAAATGACTTATTTAAATTTGAATCATGTTTCATAAAGTGTGTGTAGTGTCTCCAGGCTTGTCCCTTGGGGGAGAGACGATTTTGGAGTTTCCCGGCAAGCTGGCCTTCCCGCTCCTTCTCCCTAAGCTCTGGACTCCTGTTGCACATCTTTCACTGTCCACATGTCCAAGGTGACAACATTAACCCCCCCCCCCAACTATGTTGCCCCTAGTGTGTCTAGAGAATAATTTAAAAAAACTAGCCAGGCATAGTGGCACACGCCTTTAATCCCAGCACTCGGGAGGCAGAGGCAGGTAGATCTCTGAGTTTGAGGCCAGCCTGGGCTACAGAGTGAGTACCAGGACATCCAAGGCTACACAGAGAAAGCCTGTTTTGAAAACAAAACAAAACAAAACAAACCACACCCCGAGGATCTAGCTAGGCCTGGTGATGCACACTTTCAATCCCAAGACTTGGGAGTCCGAGACAAGGTCAAAGCCATCCTGGCCTACACAGAAAAGCACTGGAACACTGTCACACACAGGCACACACACAGAGGGTTGAACTGAAGGGCTGAAGAGAAGGAGAGAAGGCCCAGAGGTTAAGAGCTCACTGTTCCTTTTCTTTTTTTTTTTTTTTTTTTTTTTTTTTTTAAAACCAACCAGGTTCTCTGCTTAGTCCTTGCTGGAACTCACTTTGTAGAGCAGGCTGGTCTTGAACTCAGAGATCTGCCTTCCTCTGCCTTCAGAGTGCTGGGATTAATGGCGAGCTGACAGTTCTTACTGGGAGCCCAAATCCAATTCCAAGCAGCCACGCTGGGCAGCTCACAGCCATGTATAACTTCAGTGATGAACACTCCAACTTCTAGTTCTGGCCTCCGTGGGCACCTGATAGTGCCCTGCGCTAGAAGTTTTATGGTCAAAATTACTTTACCTGTCCAGTTTGCGAGATTAATTTCTCTGTCTGTTTCTACTAAGGAGTAAATGTTTGAAGACCAATCAACAGAGCCAGGCATGGCTCCAAGTGTCTTTAGGATGGCCTGGAACTCACTGTATCTCAGGATAGCCTTGAACTTACTATTCTCCTGCAACAGCCTCCTGAGTTCTGGGATTACAATCATGTACCACCATGCTCCTCTCCCGTGTGTGTGTGTGTGTGTGTGTGTGTGTGTGTGTGTGTGTGTGTGTTTTAAACACACGTGTATTTTAACAGAACATCTTTTATTTATTCTTTGACAATTTCATTCATGTAAACAATACATCCGAATCATATGTACCCCAAACTCACTCCCCAGGAGCCCCCAACTCCTCCCTGTACTTTTATCAGACACCTCAATGTGTCTTCCCTTCATCTTCTCCCTTCTCCATCTCCCTGCCCCCCCTGTCCCTCCCCATCTCTCTCTCCAATTAGTGCTGCCCCTTGACTCATCTTGTTTATGTCTTGTGCAGTGGCCACGTCATGTCCTGAGGACAGCACTTCGCAGCCCTCCTCTCCATTCTCCAGCTCTTACATCTTTTTGTGCCCCCCCACCATGATGTTTTTGAACTTGGGGGGTGGGAGTTGAGACAGATGTTCCATTTAGGGGTGAGTACTGGGTACCAGATGTTTTTCTGACTAGGAAGTACCTTAGTCCTCTGACCTTGGCAGTGGAAGGAAAAGCACACAGCTTGTCTAGGCAGGACTTGGACTCCAGAACCACCTCCTGCCCCCTAGCATCCACCTTCTGCCCCCCAACACAGGGAGATCCTCTCCACAACTCCAGCTCCCACTGGAGTCTGGAAAGAAGACTCCCCTCCGAGCCCTTCAGGTCCAAGGACACAACAGCGCCAGCACTGGTGACCCCAACACGCTCTCCATTGCAGTCAGCCCTCACCAGCTGCCCTCACACTTGCTGTGCATCCACAGGCACTGGGGACCCACCCTGTGGTCCATGGGTTGAAGTGATCAAAGGCACTAGTGTGGACGCCACACACACACACACACACACACACACACACACACACACACACACACGAAGACGGAGAAAGCTCAGGCTTGTGAATTTTATCCCTTTTGTTTGGGCTCCTCCTGCCTCGTCTCTTTAACACTGGGGTTTAACAGGAATTGTATGTGCACCACCACGCCAACTCCATGCAGTCGGACTTCATGCTGATTGTCTCCGTGTTTTACAGAACGCAGCTGGTAGAATCCTGTTAGAGCGATTCCACCACTCATCTTGTCATGTTTTTCTATTGCTCTTTCATATCTGCGCAGTACAACAGTTGGTCTAAACCATGAACTGAGTTAGGTTTTTAAATGAGGAGTCATGGGAGCTGGAAAGATGCTCAATGGCTAAGGGCACTTGCTGCTCTTGCAGAGGACCTGAGTTCAGGTCCCAGCATCCATACCAGACAGCTCACAACAGCCTGTAACTCCAGCTCCAGAGGCTCTGACGCCTCTTCTGGCCTTTGAGGGCACAGCACATACCCCTACACAGACATGCATACATATACATAAAGAAAAATAAGAATTTTAAAAAGATGTCAAGTCGGGCTTGGAGATTTTGCTCAGTGGTTAAGAGCACTTGTTGCTCTTGCAGAGGACCTGGGTTCAATTCCAAGTACCCACATGGTAGCTCAGAGTCCTCCTGGATCTCCTGGAACTCCAGTTCCAGGGGATCTCATGTCCTTTTCTGAACCCCACAGGCACCATGTATACTTGGGGTGTGCATACATACATGCAGGCAAAACACTCATATGCATAAAATAATCAAATAAATCTAAAAAAATTTAAAAATTAAAAGCTATTGTGTGTCTTAAGTCCTTGTGTTAGATTGAATTCTGAAGTATTCTGAAAGCCCATCATTCTTTCCATGGGGTTCTGACTGGTTTAGCCTTCCCACTGGGTTTTGATTGTAGCTGCAGAAGGTTGTTTTCCAGAATTTCCTTGGGTCTCACACTGCGTGGGGTCTGAAAGTGAGAGGCTATGTAATAAGGTTGACTTATAAGGCCAGGACCAGTCTTCCCAGTGGGTTTCAATTGTCATCAAAAGAAAAGAATGTACTCCAGAGTGAGACAACTGGTCTCCGGGAAAGATTCTGGCTTTGAAAGAGTTACCATGGCAACCTGTCTTTAGGGTAGCGTTTGAGTTTTAGGAAAACAAAGGACTTGGCTTTGTGTTGTTGGTCACCATGGAAGTGCCACAGCATGCAGCCTTCACCGGCTCCCTTTGCTCCTGGGGGCATTTGCTTTTCTGAGATTTGGAGAAGGCTCAACACTGGGTGGCCATCTCCCACCTCCCCCTGGTATCTTGGACTCAGAGTAGAAGCCAGGCCGTATCTCTGACACAGATATGTTTTCTCTGAGACAGCAGGCTCTCTGCTGGCCGGACACAGCCCTCCACCTGTGTTTACTGCTTCTTAAATACAGCCTCTAAGTCTGGAAGCATGGGAACACGTTCTGTTTCCGCCTCTGCCCGCCATCTCTGCCGTCCCTTTCTCTGGCCATAGGGAGCCCTTTGTCCCCTGAATGGTCCACTAACATTGCCAGGACAACAAGTTAGTCTCTTAAGGGGGAAATGGCGTCTGCACTCTCTTGACATTCACGAGATTATGTGTGAATTAAAAATCTGAGGGTGACTCAGGTGGCAGAAGAAACCATTGTGTATGTGTTTCTGTGTGTGTGTGTGTGTGTGTGTGTGTGTGTGTGTGTGTGTGTACACATGAGTGCAGCACTTCAGATCCCTATTATATCTGCTGGGAACTGAACTCAGGTCCTTTGCAAGAACACTCTTAACCACTGAGCCATCTCTTCTGCTTTAATTTTTATGGCTTTATATTTTGGGCTGGAGATCCAACTCTCTCTTCTGGCCTCTGTAGGCATGGCACATATGTGGTGCACAAACATACATAGATGCAAACACTCATAAACATAAAATAAAAATATACAAAGCCCCCAAATTATATGCATGTATGGCATATATGTATATGTATATATACACATATGTATGTATATATATATATAAATACATACACTTTGGATGTTTTCTCCTTTAGTCTTATCTCCATTCATTGCATTTATTTTGGGCTTTGCAGCTTTTTGTCCAGTGAAGAATTCACTTACTTTTCTTGTACGACAGTGAAAGTACTTCTGAGAGGCTGGGGCTCTCCTATTGGCTGGTCTCTGTCATCCCCAGCATCCTAGCACCTAAGGATCCTGTGCTGGCAGCAGTGTGGGCTTCCTCCTTGATAGAGGGTTGTTTTAAAAAGGTGTCTTTGGTGGCGCACCTTTAATCCCAGCACTCAGGAGGCCAGGTGGATCTCTGTGAGAAAAAGGTGTCTTTTAGTTCCAGGTTTGGATTTTTAAAAA